TCTCGCAGCCTCTCACACTGTTTTGTATGTAATATAATAATATTTGGCCTTCTTGCACCTGTTGTTCTTGTGCATAATTGAATGCAAATGAGGAAAGCTTACGCAAGAGAAGTCACTGAGAGATGGATATATAGAACAGCTTGTAAAGGGCTTAGAAGACGGCACAAAGCTATAATACCCCCTTCAATATTGTACAGCCAACATCTTCAGGCCACTTCTATGTCTTATTCCATCAAAATATTTCAGAATATCATCACCTACTGGATATCACACTTTTTTATCAAAAAGTTTCAATCTGATTGTAAAATGTCAGCATGTTAAAGTGTTAATGTTTGTGCATTTAAGTTGTGTCGAAATATTTATTAATAAAAAAAACGGGATTCTTCAACTCCAGGCTAGTAGATCGCCGGTAGACGATAAATTATTTATTTTCAGTCAGTTTTCCAAGATCATTTGGCTAAAATGAGCAAATACAGTTTTTAGAAAAATTAAAACGCTTAAGAATCCAATGTTCTACGGAAAAACCCGTTATAACATACCAATGCAATCCCTCCTAAATATATACACTATTGTATATTGCAACTAGTGAACTGTTCACCTAATTGCATAATCTTTGTGATACTTTTTTTTCTTTTTTCTCGCTTCATGGCATGCTCTCATAGTGTACCGTAGGTTACGAAGACGTCAGAAAAACGGCGATGTTATCATAAGTATACTGACAGTGTATCTTTTTTTTCTAAGACTAGACCCTACGCTCAGCACGTTGAACAGGCTGGTCTCATGCCTCTATATTACGCTAATTTTAATGGCGTTTGTGCGTAAAATGTTCCGGAAATTGGTGAATAAACTCTCGATCCCAACTGCGCGCGCGCAACTCGGCATGCACCCTTTCGCAGATTGTACAAAAGATCCTTGACGTAGATGTCATACCAAATTCTTGCCAGCTGCTACAATGTTGAAATCCAATGGCGCATAGCGCAGAAAACTAGTAACGACTGTTTGGCAGAAGGGAGAACACTAGCGCCTCTAACTTTAGCTGTGTGATCAACAAACACAATTAAATATTTTGTTTGTTTGTTTGTTGACGCAGGATCCGGGGGTTATCGTGTTCGATTAAATGCACGTCTCAGCCAAACACTGACGCTGCTCTCTTGAGCCTTGTCTAATTTGTACCCTGCACTCGATAAAGGTAGAGGACATAAATAATCCATTGCAGATGCCTTGTTTTGGGTAAACACGCACCTCTGTGGCAAAGAAGCTGGTTGAAGCGCCTCATGTGTTTAGAGGAGGCAAATTCGAACGGTACCACCGAATTTGCCGTTTCCTCAATCGCTACCTGACGAGTATCCTTCCGCTTCTAAAACATGCTCTTGCATACTATTCCATTCTTGTCCTATTCTATCACATTTGTTTTAATTTTTATTGGCCGAAATAAAGCGGTTATGCCCGTGATTTTAGTAATATTTTTACAATTGTATGATATATCATTATATATTGTATGTATTATAAATTGTGTGATATTTATATATTTACTTATATTTAAGTGAACTAACCTTAAGGCAATGGGCCGGGAGGAGTGACAAGTAAAAGTGTTCTGCTGGGAAACTACTACAACAAAGTTTATTACGACGTTCCGAGTGGGTACCGCTCTTCATCAAGTGAAACATCTACAGTTTGAGAGGGTTCATATATCTAACCCCCCAACCCACACCCTCCCCCCATTCAAAAAAAAAAGGAGAAAGAGAGCAACAAAACGTTTAAGCAAGAAAAGATGGGTGATTTCATCTCAACTCAGGCACGAATCTAGGGTCAATTCTTTTTATGTTGATGAAAAAATATATATTTTGGGGCAATTCCTATAATAAAAGTATATGCAAACGGCAATTTCGTCGGATTTTTTGTTTTCAAGTTATGGACCGTTGAAGCGGCCAAGGTGGAAACTGACGTTTTTCCAGCTTATCGGAGGTGCCATAGTTCACTCCATCCCTTTTCCCTACTTATTACGCGACATCAATATAACTTTTTGGGAACACTCTAGACAGGATTTTTCATGCTAATTAAGCTTCTATGTCATAATATTCTAAATGATTTGTTTTTATTTGTCAAACCGCCTCTCTGCGACGATATTTGACGAAGTTCAGCAAGCTGCGTTGTGTGACCTAATCAACATATTTTTTTATGATATTTATATCACCGTAAAGCTCCAATTAAGTTCTTTCTTTTGAGTATAATTTCAATATTTTGCAATAAGTATATAATGCGCTACATGTGCCTGAAAAACTGGCAAGTTTAGAGCCGATTTTTTGAAAAACCTCACTTTTTATTTCTTTTATTTTTTATTCACAGTTACTTAATATAGTAAAGGTCTGCAGTAAAGAGAAATGCAAAGGCGCGTGAGCATAGCTCAGCAGAATGCTTTTGTATGTACGAGAACTCGTGCATAGGAGACATATTCCAAAGCCACGCGCTCGTGCCCATGCCTTTGCTTGCACTGCAGAGGTTTGCGAGATGCAGTATAATTTTAGACATTGATACTCCCACACTAATACACCAGAGTCTAGTTTGTTAAGACTTCATGGAGCGAATATTTAGTGAACTAGAAACGAATTTTAATGTGGTGTTCACCCTGCGTGTGGCCTAAGATTTGCACCGCGTGCAATGTGAACGCTTTCCTGAGCGAAGTTCGTCGGTTGTTCGCCCCATATTTGTTTTATGGAGGTCAGCGTTTAACACAGAATGCGTAATTTGTCTAGCATCTAACCATTTCGTTCCCCAATCTAGCTCGGAGTTCGATAAGCGGACGGCCAGCCAAACGCTGACGCAGAGCTCCTCTCCAACACCAATTGGACACCGGTTCCTGCCAGACGCCTTTTTAGAGTACATCCGCTTTACTCCAGTAGGGGGAAAACATCACGTGTGCAAACATACGGTGGCGTCAGTCGCCCACAAACATACAGTGGCGCACATACAGTGGCAACATAGAGTGGCAAACTTACAGTGGTGCTCTGCTCCGTGGACAGCGGCGCTCAGGGCTTCCCCAGAGAGAGAGTGCTAAAAAGGGCGACAGAAAAATGGAGGAAAAAAAACGAATGCTCAGACGCTGCGTTAGGCGTGCTCACTTTGTCGCAACGGGTTGAGATAGTTTAGACGCTGACCGATCTGCCTGTAGGGGGCAGGGGCTTCGTCAAGCTGCATTTCTGCAGCTTTTTCTCCAGCCTCCATCGCCCATTTTGTGTTATGGGAGTAAATAAATGAATTGAATTGAAGAGGTTGGTTCTATCTTGTCGTGAGCTGGTGCCAGGGCTCTGCCCGGCTCTGTCGCGTTCCAATCGTGCTGTGTTCCGCAAGCTCTACTTACTGGATCTCACACTTGAAAAGGCTCTCAGAGAGCCGCATTTACATTGCCACCGCGGAAGATGGGCATCCACAAGTAAGACGTCCACGGAGCGCTCATACGCTTACCATCTACGACACATGGCTACTTCGTGCCATTCAGTTTCTACGTGTGTATCGTCTTTTCCGGACTGTCGTCCGCAAGGGCGAATTTGGGTTCAAAAATTAAAGATTTTGCTTAGATTGTCCTCACCCAGTGAATAGTCCGCACGCGTCGCATAGTGCGGACTATTCACCTAACCTAACCTAACCTAACCTAACCTAACCTAACCTAACCTAACCTAACCTAACCTAACCTAACCTAATCCGAACCTGAACATTATTTGACACAGCACACGTCGAAAAATGCCTGTTTTATTATCTCAAAAAGGAGCATGTATCATACATGAATCACTAATATTATACCCTGATACTCATGAAATCCTTCCCGTCTTGTCACAATGAATTATCTAAAAAATTACGAAACCTTGTATAGTCCGCACTTGTAGATAGTCCGCACCGGGTAAAGTTTTAACTATTAAACATGTATTGTCCACATACCATAGTACGGAAGATACAGTACACTGTTTCTCCACACTTGCTCAATGCATTCTCTGTTACCACTGCCTTTGTCGTGCCAGTACGTCAAAGGGACGACATTTTATGGGTTTGATTTTTACTTTCTGAAAGCTGTAAAAGAAGAAGGAAACATATACTAGCACTTGCACACCACTATCAAATAACTGAATATTTGTCAAACTGTGCCGATAGGCTGTAGTGGTGTATTTTGCTTCCACGTTCCGAGATGTGCAACGCATTATTGTCTTTTTTTGTTTGGCTTGTCCCAAAATATGTCTTATGTCCAGCAATGAAATCAGTACAAGTAGACGAATTGGGAATAAACAAAATCACCGAGAAACCAATCAATTAGTCATATGCTCGTTGCTGCAGGAGGCTTTCACAATATTGTTTCCCCTGCGCGTCTTCAATAACATAAACATATTATTTATCCTCCTAGCAATAGGAGATATAGGAGAGACACGCCATTTTTGTGCTGACTCGCTGGTCTTCACTCATATCCATAAATAAACTCATGCGTGTCTAGCGGTCTATTGCTTTAGAGAGAACAAATGTATAAATTATTTATACGACTTGCAAAGTAATGCGCAAAAATCGCTCATAACAAGTTTACGAGAGGATATATGAAAATGACGCCAAAGCGTTCGAGCTGTGCTAAAACATATTAAGGTATCTCTCACGATAAAAAATAGTGTAATCATTTATTTTAACTTATTAAAGAGTGCCGAAATATATCGCCTAGTTCGGCACATGCAAAATAGCTAAACATGCTAATTTTAATGAATGATGCCAATCTTATTGCTCTTATGCGAAAGCACTCAAATATAAAGGTCCCCCTCTCCCCCTTTCTGCATCTTCTTTAGAAACTATTTATATTGATTTTTTTTTTTTTGTAGTTCGGCTGCTCTCCTCGACAAGGAAAAAATCGATTTTATACTTTAAAAAAAATTTAACCCTTTTTTATAGTATTAGTTTGAAACACAATGAGTAAAGGTACAGCATTTCGCAATGACATTTCATTGTCCTTTCTTTTCTACCCGTGCAAACAGGCGGAATGGCTTAGAGAAGGACCAACCAGAATCGTCGTGTGCGCTCACTGGGCGACAGACGTCAGCGAAAGCGCAGCCATGAAGGTCACTGCAGCCTCGCCGAACGAGGATGCCATTGACGACTGCAGCAAGGAGCTTGCGGGTCTTAAGATGGCACCCCAGGGTAAGCAAAGCTCCATATTTGTCCATTCATACAGTTTTATGTCCATATAGTAATATTTTTTGTTGTTGTTGTTGTTTTCTTTCAAAAACCCACCAAGCAACATTGGCGCTCGACATTTGTTACGCACGAGGTGTGTGACTAAATACGACTTCTCGACGAACACGAAAAAAGCCCTCTTGTTCACTGCACGCTCGGAGTACGGGTTCAAACAAGGGCGGCCTGGGATGACTGGCACAGCGGCTACTAGATGGCGCGCTTTTTTGAGAAGGGTGCATTGCTTTAGGGCCGCGTGCGTGGCGGAGTAGGCAACACACTCGGCTGCCACGGGGAGGAACGGAGTTCGTGCTCCGCTGGGCTCGGATGTTTCTTTTCTTAATTTCTGCCCTTTCGAAAAATTCCAGTTCATTTACCACCCAAGTGTGACGTCACTGCTTCAAACAAACCGTTGCTAGGGGCGTTGTATGTGCGAAAACATGGGACAGGATTTCGCTCCGAAATAACAATCGGTCAAGAAACGGACGTGGAATTTAAACTTCTAAAAATAAAAGATATAGGAAGCCGATATTTCACCACGACATACGATTGCCGGGAATCGGTTGTTTCTGAAATATTTGCAATGGCAACTTCCGGTCCTCCAGACGTCTTGAGATGCCTCTTGCAGACGACGAACGTATGCCGAACGCACACGGAATGACTGAAGGATGCAGTCTGCAACCGTTTGAATAGTTTCCATAACGATACAATTTAAAATGTGTATTTATTTGGAACATAGCAGGCCTAAGAAAACTCATCAGGTTTATAAAAACTTGCGGGAGGTAATGGATACTGTCTGATGAAAATCATCGAACGCATAGAGATCAGCTAAAATACAGCGAGAAAAGCATCTGTATAGGTCGTCGGACCCTCTTTTTTATTGTGGAGTGTACCTGCATTGGTAATGAAGGAGCAATTACTTTGAGTGTAACATAAGCGGTTCGAGACGCCAAACTTGGTTTTTCAGGCTCCCAATATAGGGAGTATTCACTGGCGGCCATATCCGTGTGCGCTGCTGCTGAGCGCGTGCTGACTGCGAGCTTCCGCAGTCCTTTTGGATCGCGCATTTAGCACCACCAAGGTTGCTGGTCTTAGCAGGCTATTAATGTGAGCTCGTTCTCAGCATGCGCTCTAAACATCGCCCTCAAATATGGCGTCCAGTGAATACCTTTTATTGGTGTGTGTTTCGTACCTGCTTGCAATCATCGCTAAAGTTGAAGCTTGGGCGAGTTAGTATGGCATATTTGCAAAAATTAAAACAGCGCTAAGTCTGTGTCTTTCTCCATCTGGTCTCTCGTCCTTTGCGCTCTTTTAATGTCCAAATGTGTAATCATCGCATCGATAAAAAGTCTTACTGATTCTTCAGTTTTCAGTAAGACACAAAATAGCGAAGAAGCTGGATAATAACATCGTGTAAGTTTTACATATCTGGTACGGTCAGTTTGATCGCACAAGTGTGCAATGAAGCAACTGTGCTGTCAGAAATCCTTGAAACGTTTCCTGGCGTGAACTTCGACTCTGACACACTTTACTTCGTCATCGTACGTGATTCGGCTTCACAGTGTTTTCACCTTCTCAAATATTGCGGAAGCCAGCTCCACGGGAAGGCGTTGCACGAGACTGTAACTCCATATTATGGAACCTGCTTTAGAACATGTAGTTTTAACGTTTGCTGTATGAGTTTTGCGATTTCTTACCATATCCAATCTAATTTTATTTTGTTTTCTTCACGGGAGTACAAGAACGTCTGCGGGATTAAAACATGCATGCTAATCGCGCATAGGTACAACAGCCGCTCTGTCGCGTCTCGCGGAGCCAGGAACGACACGTCGTCCGTCTACAAATTTTCTCTTTTGGTTGCATCCTTGGGGGCGCGCCACTTTTGTCCTCGAAGGAGCATGAGCTGGTGAGACAATCAAGCCGTTAGTCACATTCGGTGCAATGATCCTGTTACAAGAATCACTTTGACTATGCGCTAAAGTTTTTCCAGCAACCCGTCGGCCCTAGAAGAAGATTGACAGAGCTTGCATAAGAACCGGGCTCATTCAATTGCCACCCCCTTCCGGGACAAAGGCCATCTAAATTCCTTCCCATTCTATTCCTCCCAGCGGTGGCGCCCCCCCTTCCATTCCATTTCATTCCGGGGTCGCGGAAGTGCGCAATAATTGCAGAATCATTCCCACTCCGGAGTGACAACTCCTCAGCAGTGATTGGCCCCTCACGCCTATTGGCTGGCGTAAGCAATCATGTCACCATAGTGACAACCAACGACGTTGTCGTGGGAGCCCGCAGTATCATATGTCGGTACATAAACGAGTTCACCGAGATTCAACAACCACAAAACGTGTTCATAGAGATGCCCATTTCGTCTGTATGACCAAAGTAGTCCCGCAGTTTCGTTTTTTCTACGTTAGAATTTTCTAAGATTCTTCCTTTCCCCTGAGGGGTGGTGACCTGCTGTGAAACAAATGTATTTGTTTCGTTACATTCACGCTGCTTTCAAAGCAAAATATTTATTTAAAAGTGGCCTGCTATTTTTAGCCAGCCAGTTGGATGGCTGACCTCACGTAACCTATAGTACTGTTTTTTTCTTTCCTTTTTTTTTGCGTTATTCCCGTTAACGCTCATAACAAAACAAAATATAATAACACCTCGCACAGGCTTTCTATTCGTAGACGAAACGGTTCCACAGGCCACAAAGCTACTCTCTACTCGGCTAAATAAAGACAAAAAAAAAAATAGCCCGCCAAAAAAGAAAAGATCGAATTGCACAACTGTCGCAGCCGTGCTGAGCGCTCGGTTTTATGCCAGCTGGGCAGAGGAAGCCCTCATGCACAACGCCACCTGCGTGGCGTTTCCTGCGAGTCGCCTTTTTCGCTCTGTTGACGGTGGCAAGTGTTGAAAGTCCACCTGGACGTCAGCAACTCGAATACGTGAGCTGCACCTGCGGAGAGTAACAATGCGCGTGAACAGTGCGCCTGACAACAATGGGCGCGGAAGCTCCTGTGCGACACAAGCCGATCCCTGAAGCTGCTCCAGGTATGATCACGGGCCTTAAATTAACTACTCACTATTCGTCTGGAAACTTCTGCGGTTTGCGCCGTAGTAAATTTTGTCACGACTACAGTGTTCTAGAAGCTGTAGTGGCGAGAGCGGCGCTTGCTTGGCCGCGTGAAGACGGTTGACGTAGATGGCCGCGAGGAGAGAACGTGGCGCTGAAGTTCCGGGTCCGAGGAGAATTCATGGCACATGTGCAATGAGCGAATAAGGCAAAGCTGAGGCGGTACGCTTCTCCCAAACGTAGCACCGTATCACTTTCCTTTGTGGTGTAGTGGTGGGGAGTCTTCACCGTTCCGTTGCCGTCTCGGTCATGAGTGCAAGGAAAAAGACGGAAACTCACTGCTTCACACCGGGATGTAAGTCGCTGTTTCGTGCGCCAAAGGAGGAGTCGCGCAGACTATAGTGGAAACAAAATCTTAAACGAGAAGATAAACGCCTCGCCGAGACATTAGCGGTTTGCGAGAGATATTTTGAACCGGGCCTTATGCTTCGGGACTATGTCCACATCAGCAATGGCGAAGAGGTCAGGGTTCCACGGAGTAGGCCAAAGCTCGCGGAAGACGCCGTGCCCACTTTGCTGCATGATTTCCGGGCGTACCACTCAAAGGCGATGCCCCATGAACGGCCAACAGGGAAATGGACAGCAATAGTAGTGACCCAGCCCGTGAAGAAAGCCCGCCAGTCGCGCCGAGAAATCCATGAACTGTCGACTTCTCCGCCTGATGAACCCGACAAGTCGAGCTTCATAGGTGCTCAACACTGCACGTGTAGAGCACCCAAAGCTACCTACACAGTTTTGGTCGCGGATTTACATACCGCACTACTCTGGCGTCATCTACGCCACATCACGTCGTTACAACAAGGAGAATGCAGTGATCTCCCACGAAAAGGTCGTGAGCTTTACACCAGACCAAGGAGGGTTAATTGTTGCACAGTGTTTGTTTCATGGACGAGAAACAAGCGGCTGTTTACGTTCGTGTTTTTTTTTTTTTGTTTTTTTTTTGCATCTTAATTTTTTATGTACTCACAATCGAGGTATTTTTTTCTTCGTAGGCTGCCTTCCACAAAAGACAATTTGAGTATGTTAGACAGTTGCAGTGGCACCTTGGCCGTTCCCAAACGTACTCGGCCTTCCAACTTCTACCGCGCTGGTCCCCGCATCCGCAACATGATGACAAAAGAACAATACATCAGTTTAATGTTCCGCTCACCATTGGAAAAGTGCGAGATGTATTGAGATTTAATAGTCTGTTTTTCCTTGTTATATCAGTGTCGCGTGGCTCTTTCGTACCTATCAAGCCTGCAGCCCAAGTGATAGCGTTGCTGAACGATCTATCGGTATTGGGGGCAAGGAGAGTGCCGATGATAATCGAATCTCCTTAAAAAACGCGCGAACATTTCAAGTGAAGGATAACGCACACTCTTGAGGTATTCGCCCAAAGGCAGAACTACAATTCTTCACATTAGTAATTGCTCTGCATTGCGAAAAGCTCCATTCGAACCACAGTAGTACACGCCAAACAGCGCCGACGACGTGGCTGGGCGGGGGGGCGTTCTTAGGGCTATAAAGCTTCTCGATATGTTTATGTTTGTCTGGCAAGTAGCGTCAAGTGCGCCAGTGCACGAGAGCCTTGTCTCGAGCGGCCCTTGGAAGCCAATGGCGGCGCAGCACTGGAATGAGCAGTCCTTGGAAGCAAATGGAGGTGGAGCACGAACTCGTGGGCTTTGCACGTTTCCATAACAATGGTTGGCGGTACTTGTAAATAAACTCCTTTATCAAGGGGCTTTACTAGAGTTCTGCACAGCAGCGCCACGGTGTCGACTACGCGCAAACTTTTCACGGGGCGACCGCCGCTCTTGCCACTACAACTCTCTAGAACAATCACGACAAACGGCGCCATACAGCA